GAAAAATCTAGGCTGTACATGGTAATAAAAGATTAAATGCTAGTTATAATATAACTGGTTGATGGTTAAATGGAACAAGTTCCCCAGTATTTATTTAAATAACTCCTATGTCACAACATGAGACGGGAGCAATTAGGAGGGTAGTTAGCCCCCAGGATCTTACTATTTGCCATGGGGAAAAAGAAAGAGGCTGTATCTCTGCTCCTCCCCTGCTTTGTAATGTGTTTGGGGAGCCCCTGTTCAGATTAATATTTTTGGTAAATTAACACCTTGCTTGCTGAGTATTGGGTACTAACTCTGTTTGAGCAAATAGACAGAGATCTATTCCTCTGTAAATATCTTATCTAAGATCAAACAGTGAGTGTTTCTAGCTCTCTGCCACTACTATCACTCTCAAGCCTAGCTGTAAATAGGATTTATCAGCTCTCAGCTCACTCATAGATAGGGTTGCCAGACCCACCAAGTTTTTTCAACACATTTCACTATTTCATGCTGAAGGGCTACTTATGAAAAGTGATGCCATGTAGTATGTGGCCTTCATATGCTGCAGGAAATGAGTTAGTCACAGCAGTTCTTTACATTAAAGGGTTACTCCAAGCCAGAGGTGTAACTCCATCTCCCTCTGGTAGTGTCATTGTGATCTAATGTCAGTTCTGTGCGTATTCCTATACACAGAATGCATTTATTGCCCATTTTGGTAAGTGGGCAAAATGTTGCAAAACGGTTTGCCCCAATACCAGGAAACAGCACCAGGGTACTCCTCACATCATAACCACTAGAGGGGGCTAAAGCTTGGAGCAAGCCTTGAATTAATCATTTTTTTGAAAATACTGAGACAAATCCAACATGTATTATACCTGTGCTCAAACCCCCAGAGATTTGTCTATAGACTAAATATCACTTTAAAGGTATAGTATAAGCTTTTACATTCACATTAGTACAAGACTTACCTAATGAATTTTCCTTGACATTGACAGGTGAGAATGCTAACCTTTATGCAAATTGATTCAGAGGAAGGGACGATCGTGACATTTTTTATTTTCCTCCTCCTGTTATTTTAAAGGGCATATCAAATTTCCAATTTCATAGCACAGTGTGGGTGAAGCCACACCATGCAATAAGTCTTGCCAAGCCAGCAGGGTGAGGTAGTGGTAGATGGTGAATGCATGGTGCTATATTCTTGATGCAATAAGACTCACAGACTATGTTCCTGGCCGCACAGTGTGTCACCTTGGCTTACAATAACGCCAATCAGGGCTGCGAATATACTGCGCATGGTATGGTATACTACTTACATGCCCTATATTTACTTTACAACAGTTCTCCTGACTCCAGGTGTTGGGTGATTAGGAGACCTGTTAGAAAATCTTGTGTCACATAAGAACATAGGGGGAGAATTCTCAAAGTGTCGCTGACATTTGTTTGTCTAATATTTGGTGATTTTTTTGAGCCCTATATTAAATCCGTCTGATATTTTCAACTCCTGGTTTTTTGCACCCTGTCGTTTTTTAACATACGTTTTTACAGAGACAACGGAATTTGGAATATTTTGTCATCTTTTACCAGAAAGAAAGATAGTTTATTATTTCTTAAAAAAATAAAATAAATAAAAATATTCTGCATCATCTCAGCAATAAAATCCCTACTCACGTGAAATAAAACAGCAAATATCCACAAGGGGGCGATATCTGACAAAAAAAATCTCATTTTTTTTGGTTACTTAAGTAACCAAAAAAAATAAGAGATTTTTTTTGTTAGATATCGCCCCCTTGTGGATATTTGCTGTTTTATTTCTCCAGACTAAGGCTAGGCAACCTTTCTATAGCTCTTTGCCAAAATAGTGTTTTGTGTGGGTGCAACATCTGTTTTGTGCGGTTGTTAGTGGACTGTGTGTGGTTGTATGTGCGTGGGCTGTTTGTGCTGTGCATGTATAGGTGTTTGGGATAGGTGAGGTGTGTGTATGGCAGAGCTGTTCATTGAGGCATTGTTTAGTAAACATTTTAATGCAATTAATTGTTTTATTAAGTTTACACTCCAGGGAGGGGGTGGGGAGCATGAATCAATAATGATGTCTGGTAGGTGCAGACCTCTCCCTGTGCTCTGGCACTTTGCAATTCGTCAGGGTCTGGTCAGCCAGTTGCAAAGCTTCTTTATTTTCTACCAATGGGCCCATATGGGTCTGGCAGTCTCACGTGAGTAGGGATTTTATTGCTGAGATGATGCAGAATATTTTTATTTAGTTTATTTTTTTAAGAAATAATAAACTATCTTTCTTTCTGGTAAAAGATGACAAAATATTCCAAATTCCGTTGTCTCTGTAAAAACGTATGTTCAAAAACGACAGGGTGCAAAAAACCAGGAGTTGAAAATATCAGACGGATTTAATATAGGGCTCAAAAAAATCACCAAATATTAGACAAACAAATGTCAGCGACACTTTGAGAATTCTCCCCCTATGTTCTTATGTGACACAAGATTTTCTAACAGGTCTCCTAATCACCCAACAGATACATGCCAAGCTGACTTCCAGCACTGCATGTAGCTCATCAAAAAGGCTGGGGTCACTAAAAATGTCCCCAGCTGATAGAGGGGAGCCCCAGGTTTCCATTGATACCTGGAACTCCCTTGTGTGAGCAGGGATTTAACCCTGATCACACCAAATTGTAATAGTGGGGATTTAAATCCCCATTTAAATGCTTGTTTGCAGCGCTCACTTTGAGCTCTGCAAACAGAGCATCAGTCAGTTTGGGGCCACTAATTCTGGCCCCAGGTGAGAGAGGGGAGCCCCAGGAATCAAATGATACCTGGGGCTCATCGGTACCAGCAAGGTAATAGACCCTGCTGGAAAAATACTGCATGACGGAAATTTTCCGTCATGCGTCCTTAAGGGGTTAAAAACTATAAATCCTACAGCGAAGAGCTTTATATTGTGAGAATCACAAGACCCAGACCTACATTTTGATGCATAGTATGTCTCTGAAGTATTAAAATTGAAGGCACAGTCGCAGTTTAGAAATTGCACTTCAAATTTGAGCTTTGCAGAGTGAAGTTTCAATGAATGTCAATGGACGGCGTTGGTTGCAAACAAATGGTCATATTGTGAAAACTATCAGGACTACGGCTTAGCCGTTGACATGTTTAGTGGCAGCAGGGATAGCTGAACGTTTTGATATAAGATTTGTGTAGGTGGGCCTGAAAATAAGGGAGTGGTGGCAGTTTAGAAATCATGTCCTGATTTTTCAGCTTTTGCCAGCTCCCACTCTAGCTTTGCCATTCATTCCTATGGGACAAATTTCGCCACAAGAACGACGATATTCCGTGAACCATTCGGCGAAACGTTCCACAAAGTAATAGCAATCCGATCGGAAACAATCTGCACGTTTTGGTAAATTTTTGTCTATGTAGTGTAAAAACTGTGGGAGGAGTTAGGGTGGCAAATTTTGCTATAATAATAATAATAATAATATATATGTGAGATAACATTAAGTGGTCTTGCTATGCAAGAACACTTAATAACTAGAAAAGTTACAATTTCTGGGGAAATTGTGTGAAGTGTTCTTGCCTCCACCTGTAGTCTACAACCGGAGTGGGCGGAGTAACTGTTATCATTTACATAGCACATTTAATTGCAACGTTGTTGCACAGTTACATTAAACCATACATTTATAAAAACATTAGCAGGTGTTCAAAAGGCCCTGTCTATGACATCACTTGCTGCTGCAGCTTGACACAGGTCAGAGTATTTTGGTGGTTGCCATCTTCAAACGGTCATATCTTAAAAACTATAAATCCTACAGCGAAGAGCTTTATATTGTGAGAATCACAAGACCCAGACCTACATTTTGATGCATAGTATGTCTCTGAAGTATTAAAATTGAAGGCACAGTCGCAGTTTAGAAATTGCACTTCAAATTTGAGCTTTGCAGAGTGAAGTTTCAATGAAAGTCAATGGACGGCGTTAGTTGCAAACAAATGATTATATTGTGAAAACTATCAGGACTATGGCTTAGCCGTTGACATGTTTAGTGGCAGGAGGGATAGCTGAACGTTTTGATATAAGATTTGTGTAGGTGGGCCTGAAAATAAGGGAGTGGTGGCAGTTTAGAAATCATGTCCTGATTTTCAGCTTTTGCCAGCTCCCACTCTAGCTTTGCCATTCATTCCTATGGGACAAATTGCGCCACAAAAACGACGATATTCCGTGAACCATTCGGCGAAACGCTCCACAAAGTAATAGCAATCCGATCGGGAACAATCTGCACGTTTTGGTAAATTTTGGTCTATGTAGTGTAAAAACTGTGGGAGGAGTTAGGGTGGCAAATTTTGCTATAATAAGAATAAGAATAAGAATAATAATAACTAGAAAGCTACAATTTCTGGGGAAATTGTGTGAAGTGTTCTTGCCTCCACCAGTAGTCTACAACTGGAGTGGGCGGAGTAACTGTTATCATTTACATAGCACATTTAATTGCAACGATGTTGCACAGTTACATTAAACCATACATTTATAAAACATTAGCAGGTGTTCAAAAGGCCCTGTCTATGACATCACTTGCTGCTGCAGCTTGACACAGGTCAGAGTATTTTGGTGGTTGCCATCTTCAAACGGTCGTATCTTAAAAACTATAACTCCTACAGTGAAGAGCTTTATATTGTGGGAATCACAAAACCCAGACCTACATTTTGATGCATAGTATGTCTCTGAAGTATTAAAATTGAAGGCACAGTTGCAGTTTAGAAACTGCACTTCAACTTTGAGCTTTGCAGAGTGAAGTTTCAATGAAAGTCAATGGACGGCGTTAGTTGCAAACAAATGATTATATTGTGAAAACTATCAGGACTATGGCTTAGCCGTTGACATGTTTAGTGGCAGGAGGTATAGCTGAACGTTTTGATATAAGATTTGTGTAGGTGGGCCTGAAAATAAGGGAGTGGAGGCAGTTTAGAAATCATGTCCTGATTTTTCAGCTTTTGCCAGCTCCCACTCTAGCTTTGCCATTCATTCCTATGGGACAAATTTCGCCACAAGAACGACGATATTCCGCGAACCATTCGGCGAAACGTTCCACAAAGTAATAGCAATCCGATCGGGAACAATCTGCACGTTTTGGTAAATTTTTGTCTATGTAGTGTAAAAACTGTGGGAGGAGTTAGGTGGCAAATTTTGCTATAATAATAATAATAATAACTAGAAAAGTTACAATTTCTGGGAAATTGTGTGAAGTGTTCTTGCCTCCACCTGTAGTCTACAACTGGAGTGGGCGGAGTAACTGTTATCATTTACATAGCACATTTAATTGCAACGTTGTTGCACAGTTACATTAAACCATACATTTATAAAACATTAGCAGGTGTTCAAAAGGCCCTGTCTATGACATCACTTGCTGCTGCAGCTTGACACAGGTCAGAGTATTTTGGTGGTTGCCATCTTCAAACAGTCATATTTTAAAAACTATAAATCCTACAGCGAAGGGCTTTATATTGTGAGAATCACAAGACCCAGACCTACATTTTGATGCATAGTATGTCTCTGAAATATTAAAATTGAAGGCACAGTCGCAGTTTAGAAATTGCACTTCAAATTTGAGCTTTGCAGAGTGAAGTTTCAATGAAAGTCAATGGACGGCGTTAGTTGCAACAAATGATTATATTGTGAAAACTATCAGGACTACGGCTTAGCCGTTGACATGTTTAGTGGCAGCAGGGATAGCTGAACGTTTTGATATAAGATTTGTGTAGGTGGGTGTAGGTGGGCCTGAAAACAAGGGAGTGGTGGCAGTTTAGAAATCATGTCCTGATTTTTCAGCTTTTGCAAGCTCCCACTCTAGCTTTGCCATTCATTCCTATGGGACAAATTTCGCCACAAGAACGACGATATTCCGTGAACCATTCGGCGAAACGTTCCACAAAGTAATAGCAATCCGATCGGGAACAATCTGCACGTTTTGGTAAATTTTTGTCTATGTAGTGTAAAAACTGTGGAGGAGTTAGGGTGGCAAATTTT